AGAGAGAGAGAGAGAGAGAGAGAGAAAGAGAGGGAAGGAGAGAGACAGGATCTGAAGCAGTATCCAGGCTCTGAGCTATCAGCACAGAGCCCTACACAGGGCTCGATGTCACTAAATGTGAGAACATGACCTGAGTCAAAGTCTGCCGCTTAACCAACTGAGTCCCCCAGGTGCCCCAAGAAATACTACTTTTATACAAAAAGAAAAGTCTTTAGACTATTAATAAAGTGGAACTCCCAAAGGTCAGCAATGGGATCCCACACTTTCTAGGGAGTAAATGCTGACATGAGCAGCAGGTTATTTTTATCACTGAACATTTACAGGCAGACTGCTGGTTACAAGCACCATGAAATGTTCTTAAATGCCTGACGGATGATCTGCAGTGTTCAAATAGAAATACAATTATTAACAAGGCAAAGACCATAAGAGCTTCAGATTCTAAACCCAAGCTTCGTATTAAAATCACATGGGGAGCTTTAAAGAAGACTGACGACCAAGTCACACGCCAGACCAATGAAATCAGAATGGACCTCTTTTTGCAGAAGTTGAGTATAAGGTACTTCTGAGTACAGTTACTTTCACCTAAACTGGCATTCCAGATGTAAAATGTAGCTATAAGGGATAGAAGTGGGCATGTGATATAATCCAGGAGTTTCTGTTCTTAGCAACCAACAAAAGTCCTATTTTTTTAAGTGAATTTGCTCTCATGCAGTTCAGGTCCATTTTAGAGTCCTAAATTCAGATTATTCTGGCTGGAAATCTATACTTTAAATATGCATAAAACATAAAATTTGTGTTACTTAGAATTAAAAATGGCCTACTCGTATATAATCTTCCTATAAATAACCTTACATTTTACATTTGATACAGTAATAAGACTGACAGTGTGCTACTTATTTTTGCAACTCCATTTCAGGTTTTTTTAAAAAAAAATTTTTTTTTCAACGTTTTTTATTTATTTTTTTTTGGGACAGAGAGAGACAGAGCATGAACGGGGGAGGGGCAGAGAGAGAGGGAGACACAGAATCAGAAACAGGCTCCAGGCTCTGAGCCATCAGCCCAGAGCCTGACGCGGGGTTCGAACTCACGGACCGCGAGATCGTGACCTGGCTGAAGTCGGACGCTTAACCGACTGCGCCACGCAGGCGCCCCTCCATTTCAGGTTTTTTTTAAAAAAATATTTATTTATTTTGAGAGAGCCTGAAAGAGCGCATGTGGATGTGTGCAAGTGGGGGGGGGGGGGGGGGGGGGGGGGGGGGGCAGAGAGACAGAATCCCAAGCACACAAACTGTGAAATCATGACCTGAGCAGAAATCAAAAGCTCAACCAACTGAGCCACCCAGGTGCCCCTTCAGGTTTGTTGTTTTAAATCACAGATGTGCATTCTTATATGTTCTGGGTGTATCACTGGTCCTGTCCTTGGGATTCTTGCCATGGATTCATAACATGAAGTGTTTTAGAAACTAGTCTGGGGTTTTTCTGATAGGTCAGGACCTGACATTGTTAGGTCAGATTCAAGTCCTGCCTTATACTGAAGAACATTGTGCCACAGTGCTATGGACTGTTTGTGTCCCTGCCCCCTAACCCCCGAAATTCTTATGTTGATTCTCTAACCTCCAACATGATGGTATTTTGTGGAGGTAATTAGGGCCAAATGAGGTTAAAAGGGTGGGTCCTTCATGATAGATTAGTGACCTTTTGAGGAAGAGAAAGTTTCTCTCTTCTGAAAAAGAGAAGTTGCCAAACTTCAAGATTGGAAGAGAACTCTCACCAGGAACTCAATTGGCCAGCACCTTTATCCTAGGCTTCCCAGACTCCAGAATTGTGAGAAAATAAATTTCTATTTTTTAAGCCTCTCAGCCTATGGTATTTTGTTATTGCTGCCCGAGCAGACTAACCCATGTAGTGAATAGTGTAGGGCTGAAATCATCAATTTCAAGTGTAAAATTTTTGGCATATTATAAACCTGTGCTTCTCAATCTTTTAAATTCCTGCCTCATATTCATGAGCATAAAGATCTCATGCTTAAAGTTCACATGTAATTTGAGTATTCCGTATGAATTAAATATATTTAAAAGCAAATAAACATACTACTGAATGCTCCCTGATATTTCTGATATGTGCTACCTGGGTCCTACTGTATTCAGAATCACTCTAAATCATGCAACCAAATGTGGAGACAAATGAAGGTGAGACATAGGTAATTAATGAAGAAACTTAATGTATATGTCAATTTTGGGGATGCCTGGCTGGCTCAGTGGGAGGAGTGTGTGACTCTTTTTTTAAAAATATATGTTTTTAGTGTTTATTTATTTTGAGAGAGAAAGAGAGCACAAGCAGGGGAGGTGCAGAGAGAGAGGGAGAGAGAGAGTATCAAGCAGGTTCCGCACTGTCAGTGCAGAGCCCAATGTGGGGCTCAAACTCACTAACTGTGAGATCATGACCTGAGCCAAAATCAAGAGTCAGACACAACCGACTGAGCCACCCAGGCGCCCCCAGGAGTATGTGACTCTTAACCTCAGGGTCAGGAGTTCAAGCCTCACATTGGGTGTAGAGATTACTAAAAAATAAATAAACTTAAAAAAATGCATATGTGGATTTTTGCCTCATTTTTCATGAACTTAATAAAACTTTCTATTTTAAGAACTTTCGATTTTGAAAAAGGCTTCTAATGATTTTATTCAACTGAATTTACTGTACACATGTAGTTTTAAGAGTCAGAAATAAAATGTAAATAAAATATCAGTTAATCTGCATGTCAGCGTCATGCCAAAAAAGCCAGTTGATGGATTTACATTTCACTTTTCAATGGTCTGTTTTAACATTGTGTAGATTAACACAATTCTGACCTCTACTTTACCTAATAAAATTTATTTGAAACCATGTTGTTTCATTAGGCTTAGAACAATCTAAGTAAACTCATACAATTAACCGAATTAAACCTGAAAACCTTAAAAATGCACTCTTGGATTTTGGAGTTAAATGACCCAATGACAAAACTTTGTATTTATTTATTTTATTTTTTTTTAAATTTTTTCTTAAGTTTATTTATTTTTGAGACAGAGAGAGACAGAGCATGAACGGGGGAGGGGCAGAGAGAGAGGGAGACACAGAATCGGAAGCAGGCTCCAGGCTCTGAGCCATCAGCCCAGAGCCCGACGTGGGGCTTGAACTCACGGACTGTGAGATCGTGACCCGAGCTGAAGTCGGACGCTTAACCGACTGAGCCACCCAGGTGCCCCTTTTGTATTTATTTTTTAAATTATTTTATATGTATAGTATCAACAATGAGTCTCCAGGGGTAATGCAATGAATAAAGACATTTGTACTTTTCTCCCGATATCAGAATCTGAAATATATTCCTCTTCCTTTGGAGGATCATTTCATTTTGCTGATCAAATTGCTCACATCCCAAAAGGATGAAAACTGCTCTTTTAGGCTATGCCCCAGGACCCCATTCACTTAAACTTTCCAGTTTCATTTGAGATACTCTTAAGGTAAATCTCCCACAATGCTAACCCCAATACTGATAATAAGGACTGATGACTCAAAATCATGGCTTTGAAATATTTGTTAACAGATCTTTAATCATCAAAGACATAGTAATACTATGGTGTAAGGCAGAATCTTGGAACATTTTTTTAACTAAGGGTTACAATACCCTTAGTTAACCAAAAAGTACAAATAATCAGAATATTTTTATTCCTTTTGCATAAGATTAATCAAAGATAGACTTAATACTTAAGCATATACATAAGATAATGTGTTACAGGTGGTTTCAATTATGTGTATGAAACCTCTTTACTCCAAACCTCTGCAGCACATGGTTATAACTCTCTTATAGCACACAGAACATTATCCCTTACAGACTGTTGCTTTATTTTTGTCTTTGTCTTTATTATATGTTCATTTAGGGCAGAGATTGAGTCTTATTCTTAATTGTATTCAATCTCCTAACAATGCTTTGCACACAGTAGACACTCAGTAGATAATTTTAATACAGACTAGTCGCTTGTTCAACCATCATCAATTTCATTTTAAAGAGGTAATCCTTGGCCTTGTTTTATTATCCCTAGAATTGTCTTTTAAAATCAAAATAATTGGTCCAAGGACAAATGAGATTTAATTTTTTAAAAAGAGCTGTAAAACTACAAAAACATTTGGTACCTGAAAAAACAAGTACAAAAAAACTCTTGTTAAGCTTATTGTTACATGAAAATTATTAATAGTATTCACTCAAAAAGATACTACAAGAAACGAAGGTGAAAACAATTTGATTGAATTGTATCTCCCACAGCGACATTTAACAGATGTTTTCTGTATTAAAGTCTATTTAATGTTGAACTTTTTTAGAGTATATGGAAAATGTCAAGCCAAAAGAAATCTAATATTAATGATACATTTGAATATCAATCCAAAGCAGACTGTAGTGAAAAACCCCTAATTATTAGTGAATGACTTTTCAGCAGAGATTACATTATATATCACAGAACAAGGCCTATCATAATCATAAATAAGTGATATTCCAAATTTCTATAATTGAAATAATTTGAACCTAACATCATGTTGATTATATTTGTGAACCTGAACTTTACATAGTTTTAAGTAGAGTTAATATAAGTGTACTTTACCACATTTCAATGATGATTATTCAATACTTTATTGAACACTGACATGGTTAAGGCCAAGTCCTAATCTTGTATTTGTGTGTGTGTGGCAAAATGTAGAACCAAAAATTCAAAAATTTAGGTTTAGAGAAAACAGGGAAGATGATGTATCGTGAACAAAGCCAGATGAATGCTGGATTTCAAGACAATCAAATCTAGGTGAAAAGGATGATGCAAAGTCTAAATATTGCAATACAGGTAATAAACCATAACTGTATACACTATATTAAATAAAAACCCTATTTTATCTATATGTAATGTAAAAAATGATACAAAGCATTCTGTGGGCTAATTTTGCACATTACAGAATTTGAATATAGTACTCAGCTTGATTAACATATGCCAATCTATTGTGAAAATTACATAAACAATTATTGTTTTTTTTAACATTCTAGGTAACTGTCTAATCCATGATAATTAACCTTTATTAAAAGGGATTGAAAATTTTACTCTATAGGATGGCAGACCGGTTTCATTTTGTTCTTACCAGTTTTACAAAAAATTTTAAACAGTGATTTCCTGGATTATTTAAAGGGCGATAATTCCATCACCCCCGTTTGAACGAAGCTTTTCAAACATCTGATAAAAACCACAATGGAAATGTAATTATGTGAATTAAAAACACTTAAAAACTCTCAAAGGCTCATAACTGTAACTCTTGATTCTCAAAACCACCAAAACTTGCCAACCAAACACCCTGCCAGGCACCCCTGAGAAACTTTCCATTTAGGAAAGGCATCGCAATAGGCTGCATCCTATAAAGAGGCGCGATACACCCCTCCCAAAGCCACCTCGGGTTTAAATCCACTACCTGCCAACAATTATGACCTGCCAACAGTTATGGAGTAGCCTTTTGCAGTGGGGACGTCGCTACCTGGGCGCTGGTGGGCCAAGATCGATCTCCAGGTCAGTTCTCCGCCTCACCCCGAGCGAAGAGTGAGAGTTCGGTGGCATCAGCCCAGGCGATGGCCGACACTGAGGGTTAAGGTGCCCTGCTCCCCGCCCCGGCTCCGCAGGGCGCCCTACCTGCCTACCTTGACAGGGTGTAGGTAGCCGTCGCCGCGCAGGGCGCCCAGCCCGGGGTCTGCCGGCGCCTCGGCGTCGTCCTGCAAGCTGCGGGTGAGGTGGGCAATGTAGGTAGTGGCCAGCAGCAGCACGTCCAGCTTGGACAGCTTGGTGTCCGGCGGCACCGACGGCAGCGTGCGCTGCAGCTCTAGGAAGGCGTGCCGCAGAGTCTGCACGCGGCTTCGCTCCCGCGCAGCGTTCGCTGCTGCCGGCCGCCCGCCCCCCAGGCGCGCACCGCCGCCGGGGCCCGCCGGTCCTGCCCCTGCCCGGCCCGGGCTCGAGTCGCGGGTGGCTGCAACCGCGGGCGCGGTCTCGTTCCTAGCGATCAGGGGGCTGCCTGCGGGGCCGTCGCGGTCCATGGCGGCTTCCTGAGCTGCGTGCCCTGCAAAGGACCCAAGGCGCGGTGAGGCCCGGCGGGGGTCGGGCTTAAACCGGGGAAGCGCAGGCCTCTCGCCTCAGCAGCACGCCGGGCCAACGACGTGGCTGGGGCGTTCTCAGAGATGAGGTTGTTTTGACTCGGGCGTGTTTACCTCCCCGCGTCTGAGGAGAGTTGTGGGGCCTGACAGTTCCTGGGCTTAGAGGGCTAAGGAGGGGCGCGGTGCCGGTTTTACTTTTCACGGACAAATTAAATGGAAGGGCTGTTCTACCGAGGAAGGAGGATCTCGGAAGCAGAGCTCCGGTTCGTAACTTGTTTGCACTTCTGGAACGTTGTGCGCCAGCCCCGCAGGAAACACGGTGCAGGTCATTCTCGCGGAGCGCAGCGGGTAGCCCTGGGCCAACTCACGGCCGTCAGTGCTCACGCGGGCAGTCCTCGCACCATTCGCTCTCGAGGCCAGGGATCCCGGGGGGTGACTGCAGGAGCTCATTCTAATTTCTACGGCAGGAGACGGGGACCCTGACCTCACCTTGAACTAAGGCACCCGCTACCCCTCTGAAACCTGGGGACCAAGCGTCGCGACGGGGGGTCGAACCGAAATCCTCACCTTTCCTGGAGCGGCAGTGCAGGGCTCGGCTCTGCTGAGCGAGCGGGCGAGGAGCGTCGAGCTGGGTCTGCGTGGCCAGGGCCGTCACAGGTCACTCCATCCTCGTCTAGCCGAAGTCTACAGTCGCTTCCAGCCCCTGCTGGGCGCGTCTTTTATACCGGCGCCCCCGTGGCCAGGCGTGTGTGGGCCAGACTTGATGTCAGGCGGAAGAGCAGTACCAGGCGAGGTTCGCGCCCACCTGAGGGGCTCTGCCCGGAGCGGAGAGTCATTAATCAAACCGGCCGGCGGGGCGGGGCTACAGGGGGCGGGGCTTCCGCCTGGCCCCGCCCTCGCCCCCGTCGCGGTTCACTTTGAGCCGAGCCTGCACGTCCTGCCTGTCGAGCGTCCGCGGTGTTGAAGGCCCGCAGAGTTACCGCGCCTCGCCGCGGTTCTTCAGCCGCGGACCCAATCTGAGCGAGGGCGCCTCTTAGGCAGACGCAGAGCTGAGGCGGGAACCCTGGCGTTTTGTGGAGAGTGACTTTTAATTTTCTGAGGAAATGTGAAGTGTGCCGTTGCCATGCGCTAACCTATTATTCTACCACCAAGGTAAATGCTTCGTGTGCCCTAATTACTTAAAGCACCTCCACCTCTGTAGTCCGTGACTAGTTTATTGAGCCGCTCAGAGATAATGCTCCCTCTGTGGTACTTGAAGTTCCTCAGACCAGCGTAAATGGCCCTGGGATCGCGGTCGCTTCTCCCCGGGGGCGCGGACCTTGTGGGCTGCCTCCGTAGCAAACACCGGGCCCCGGTTTTTTCCCTTTTTTTTTTTTTTTAAATTGGTCCTGGCTCCGCCCCCTGCAGAGGCTCTCTGAAGTCTGCACACTTGGGAAGACCCGCGGGAAGCGTGGTCCTCGGGCTGTGCGATGAGGCGCTCCAGCCAAGGCTCTTTTAGAATGCTGGCTCTGCGCGTTGGCCTCTTCCGAGCCGGCCTGGGAGGCGCTGGGCCCGGGACGCCCCGCCTCTGTGGCTCCCGCCGGCCCTGGGGACCCATGCATGGCCTTCAGAGGTGAAGTCCTAGTGGACGCACGGTATTTTCTAGAACGTAATTAGTATATCCTTGAAATAATTCCTATTCAAAGAGCAGGACATTTAGAAACCTTCCATCTTCCTTCGACTCAAGACAATATCAAATTTAAAATATCATTAATGAATTTGCTCTTGTATATGCGACATCATTTCTTTACAATAGATTTTTAAATTGGAATTATTAAGTAGTACGTAGTAATGGTGACACTAGTATTTTAATGTATCATTCCACACATTATATTAGTGAATCAGTATATCTTCAATTCCCATTCAGTAACTGTAATTAGATTTACACTTTAGAAAGGAACGTACCAAAATACCATTGGTTCAAAAAAGGATTACTTTCTTTTGATGAACGTGGAAGCACATCTTTATTTTCTCAGTAAATTGTCTGTTATGAGGCATAAAGCAATTGAAAAGCAATTTTCATTTTCTTTACATAATGAGATACCATAAAGCTACAAATTGCAGAAGATGCTATTGCCTAGTACTGTAAAGGTAAAAAACAAACAAACAAACAAATGTTAAAGAACACTTAAGGACGAATTTACTTTTTTTTTTACAAACATTTTCTTTTGGGTTATGGAGAAGGTGAAATTCATATATATCATTTTTTTGTCAGCAAGCTTTCACATTCCTTCAAAGAGGGATTCCTGTATTAATAGAGAAAAAAAGAGCAGTATTCTTTCAAAAATGAAATTCATCCAAAACGGGCACAAACATACAGACTCTATAATACAACAATAGTAGAAGCTAATCACCAGAAAAGCTAGTCACCAAACTGTGTGAATCTTCTCAGGCTTTAAAAAGCAGAAGGAAAGATTTCCCCACTTCCCCAGAGTAGGGAAGAATGTGGAAAAAGTATGTGTTACGAAAACTGTGGAAATAAGAATTTTGGAAGGAAGGTGGGCTGAGGCTAGAGTGAGGCAAATTAGGTGCCTAGGGCTCCTCAACTTTTGCACCCTTGACATCTCACATGCCTCATTCTAGCCTAGCCCGCTAAAGCCTTGTCTAAGTGCCAGAGGTGGGGTGGAGGTGGGGGCACCAGCGAAGCTCTTCACTGATGACAGTGGCTGGAAAATGGATAGCTTTGTTGCCCAATAGTCAGGTTCAAAAGAAAGGACTGAGGAAACAATACTGACCACTGTGGGCCACCTGGTCATATCTGCTGCTACTCTAAGCAGCCTCTCTGAATCCTCTGATGATTCTAGAGTAGTCCTAATTCCTGCAAGAAACCATGTTCCCCGTTAAATTAAAAATAGATGAAAATCTTCAAATGTTCGACATTACATAAATTAGTAACAGGTACCTTACTCAACTTTTTATATTTGCTAAGTGCTTTACAAAAAAGCACTTTATTTTTTCAATCAGTCTACAAAAACCCTTTGAGGATTTTACATTTTGTGGTTGAGAAAATAAAGCGCAGAGAGATTAAATAACTTGTGAAGGTCACACAGCTAATAAGTGGCAGAGAGAGGATTCAAGGTAGATTGACCCTAATACTTTTGCTTTTTACCAGACTATCCTATTTAATATTTGTAGAGTTCTTCATTATTTGCCAGACATTTTTTGTATCTATTATTTCAATAAGTTAATGTTTTAACTTGACTCCCTATTAACAACTCAAACACTATTTTCATGGTATAGTATATTATTCTTTGGGAGTTCTTGTTTAGTCTTCCAGAAAGTAGAAGGCTTTAGAGTGCTATGGATTTTTTTCAGAGTGTGGTGTAGATCTTAAAATTAGATGTCTTTCTAAATATGCCAATTTGTCATTAACTTATCATCTTTATAATGTAAAATAATATATCGGTGAAGAAAATATATTGCTGCATTTTATATGTATAGATGCATAATATAGTAAAACAATAGGTTTTATATAATCAGTGCTTTTTTTCACCTGTCAACTATTTCCCTTAATTATTTAGTTAAGATACAATTTGCATAATTAAATTCACCCTTGTGACTATGTAGTCCAGTAAGTTTTGCTAAAAACTACCACAGCAAAGAGATGCAGAATTTCACCTTTCCACCTTTACGTTGCCTTGTGCTGACCCTTTGCATTCTACTCTTAAGCCTTGGCAATTGCTGATCTATTTTCTGTCTCTGTAGTTTCACCTTTGCCAGAAGGTCATAGAATCATACACTATGTAGCCTTTTAAGTTGGCTCTCCTTTGACTTATAATGCTTTTGAGATCTGTCCATGTTGTTTTGGGTATCACTAGTTTATTTTGATTTTGAGTAGTATTTAATTTTGAGTAGTATTCCATTGCATGGATTTACCACTGTTTGCTTATCCATTCCCCACTGGGAGAGCTTTGGGTCGTTTTCACTTTTTGATTATGAATAAACCACTATGAACATTTGGGTACAGAGTTTTATGTGAACATAGGTGTTCACTTCACCTTGGAGTGGGACTGTTAGATGTGTTAAGTACATGTTTAATTTTATAAAAGTATGTCTGAATATTTTCCAAAGTGGCTCTGCTATTTTTGCATTCCTACCAGTAGTGCACAAAAGTTCCAGTTGCTCCATATCTTTGCTATCATTTCCACATTCTTTGTATCCATTTTAGTAGATTTTTTTTTTAAGAAAAATTATTGACTCAATATTTTAAAATCAGTTGATTTCTTAATCTAGATATCTTGCTTGCCAACTAGTCTGATTTCTCAAGTTCAGCATGTCTGCTGGCTATACTGTTTTGGAGCAGAGTGCCTTTGGAGTAGAGTTCCTTTGCTTTTGCAGGTGCCTTTAGTTGGACATGTACTCTCCAGTTGACCTCAATCACATTCACTTTGTTTCCCTTATTTTACCTACCTATGCCTGAGCGTGTTTTTGAGACCCCCTTGCAGAATAGTTGAAGACCTGGCTTTTAGAGTCAGTGACCTCAATTCAAGGTCCAGCTATGCCTTATGGCAGTTGTGTGACTTTGGGCCCCTTTCTGACTGTGCCTCTCTAATGCTCATTTTCCCCATCTGATTCTTATCTCAACAGGTTCTGCTGTTTTAAAAAAATTGTTTGGGTAGTTAAGATTCAGGTATCAAAGTAGACATTTTAAAATTGAAAATACTGGGGCACCTGGGTGGCTCAGTCATTTGAGTGTCAGACTCTTGGTTTAGGCTCAGGTTATGATCTCATGGTTCAGGGGTTCAAGCCCCATGTTGGACTCTGTGCTGACAGTGCTGAGGCTGCTTGGAATTCTCTCTCTTCCTCTCGCAGCCCCTCCCCACTGGCTTGCTCTCTTTCTCAAAATAAAATAAACTTAAAAATATATAAGACTTCTTTAAAAAATAAAATGGAAAATTACATAATTCTTAAAAATTAAATCTTACATAACTCTTTTCCACAGAGTAAGCCATTGACAGAGTTGAAACTAGAAGTCACAAAACCTAGCTTAGATTGTTCTAAAAAAAAAACAAAACAAAAAAACCTTGTTGCTTACCACTATTGCTCTTTTTGAGAGGGATGTCCTAATTTAAGAAGGGTTCTTTAACAACTAACTGCAAGTCTTATACCTACATTATTGATACATAGAAGTTTATTTTGCATATAAAATTAATTAGACTGATGTTAGGTTTATCACAGCACAATTAAAGGTATTTAGAGTTTTGCAGATGGGTTCATGTCAGATCATCCCAGAGTTTGCAACTAAAAATATTACTGAAGTTTTAAAACTCTTGAGGCACATAGAAGATCTGTTGTTACAACTGTTCAAACATAATCTTAGCAATGGTGAAGGCAAGTTATTTTTACTGTTTTTAAAGTTCACTTTTTAACTCAAAGAAACCTAATACTTCCATATTCTAACTAAAGATAGTAGGTATTATATAAATAGTTAAGTAACATACATTGAACATTTCCTGTGAATTATGGATCCCAGAGATTCACATTCCTTGAAGGTATCTGAAACTAAGGTCATTCTAACCCAGCTACACAGTTATTTTTACAGTAACAAAAGAGATGGATTGACTCTATGGACATAGCTTAGGGTTTAAAGATAAATAATCAAGTAACAATTTGCTTCCTTCAGTGTACAGTGCTCTACAGTATTCTCAGTGGATCTTATTTACAATATGTAAATGCATTTAATGTCTATTTTAAAATTACTAAGTCTCAAGCACCTCCTAGCATGATTGAAAAGAGAGGAAACATCTGTCAAAAGTATTTACTGTGACAAACACAGAAAGAAACAATCTTTTTAATACCATACATTATTTTTAATTGAATAGTCAAGGCATTTGTTTACAGCCAGCCTTTAAATAAAAAATAGTTTTGAACTAATCTTTAATTAAAGTGTACATTGATAGTATCAAGTTCAGTTTGAGGGTCAAAAACAACGTCAATGAGTCTGACTTTTTCCTCCCTGTAGGGAAAGCAGGCTTGTATAAATATACATGAGCACAGACTGCACACATTTATAAAGAAGGTGGAAAACATTCCCCTGTCATTGGACAGATGTTGCTTCACTGTGTTGACATAGATACGGGCACAGCTCCTAATGTGCAGAACCTTAAAGGAGTATGGGACACATACTTTCACCATTTTGGAAGAAGACTCTAAGCTCCTTTATACTTCTGAGCATTAAATGTAGACTGTAGGTGACTTGTCTGCTGATGCTAGCTCATTCTCCCCTTAAAGTAATTAAGGGAAGGAGTTGCTTTACTCAACTTTCTAGATTTTTAGATATGAAAAATTCTTTGTGTTTGGGTTAGGTGTTTTTTTAACACTTTAGTGACCTAGCTTTATTCTCATGATCTCTTAGTTTTATGCTAACTTCATAAAATGTTAGAAGTAGGCACACAATAAAAATCTTTATCAGAGCTTAATGAAATTCCATATTGATCACCTTTTAATAAAGAGAGGTAGAACTAATAGTCCCATTTAGTAAGACTTAAATATTTTTATGATACCAAAATGATGTTTTGGTATGCCCTCAGTAAAAATGTTATCTGAAGAAATAGAAAACTTTTAATTTTTTTAATGTTTTTATTTTTAAGAGAGAGATGGAACGTGAGCGGGGAAGGGGCAGAGAGAGAGGGAGTCACAGAATCCAAAGTAGGGTCCAGGCTCTAAGCTGTCAGCACAGAGCCCGACGTGGGGCTTGAACTCGTGAACCGTGAGATCATGAACTGAGCTGAAATCAGACGCTTAACCGACTGAACCACCCAGGCACCCAGAAATTAAAAAAACTTTAAAACAAAATATTTATGTAATATTTTTTCACATTATAAAACTGAAGACTTGGGATTGAACATAATTGCCAGTGACAGAAGCAGGACATTCTTTATTTTCTTCTCCCAGGAGTCTCTCTATTCTGCCAGCTTCTTTTAGAGCAGCCTATCTTTGCAGTACATACTAGTTAAAGATGCATTTAGCTCTGTATTTAGTGTTCCTAGTTAGGAAAATGAAGATAGAATGATTTATTTGCTGTTTTGTCAGTGAGGTGATTAGAGCTTTGCTTGGGACTGTAGAATATATGGTATGTGCGGTAGTTCACAGCTGATCTAACGTAGTGTGTGTGGCAATGTGTAGAATTTACCAACATTGTTTTCTGAGTCTGCGTCCATTTTTGTTGTTTTCCTTTCCACCTTGATGATATGTTAGCAAGATCTTTCAAAATTCTTGGCAAAGAAACGAAACTGAAGAACACTGTCATGGAATTGACACTAGTTGTGTAGATCTTTAAGAAACTACCAGGGTGCCATGGACAGAGTGGCTATGGTTTTGATGGTAACGACAAAAGACATAAGCAGTCAAGCAGACTCTCACGCAGCTTCTGTGTTTTTTGTTTGTTTTTGGTGAGTGTTGATGAGGCAAGACTAGGACTCTCTCCATTTCCTTTTTCCTCTCCCCCAAATAAAGCATTTTCCAGACTCAGAGGACCCTTTCTCCCTTATGCCTCCATCCCAGCAAGCCTAAGCCACTCTTCAGGGAATGGGGGTAGGACAGTGCAGCAGTGTTGTTCATAGGTCTTCTCTAGGTGGGCTTCATTAAGTAATGCTAAGTCACCATACCTTAGACTAGACTCTGCAAACAGGGTCTCATGATAAACCTACCTGATCTTCAACAGGCAGTTCTGGAAAAAGGAAATCTAGAGTATGTACCCTGGCTCTGATTACTTTCTCAATGAAATATGCTGTTGCCTCCTTCACTATATTGTAATGACTACTATGATATGATTGGAAGATCAATAGAGCAATCATATGGACTATAAATGAGAAAAAGTTGAATGAATAATTTATAGGATGTATTAGGATCTGGTTTATAATGTTCATAGCATTTATCACACTCTACAGTAGTTGTATCATATTTGACTCTCCAACCAGCTTGTTGCAAGATTTTTGAGATCAGGACTATCTCATTTGAGTTTTTATATTCAGTATTGCCCAGCATATGGCAGGTACCTATTAGTTTTATGAATAAATGAAGTTCTTTTCTGGTATGGTTTATCTTTACATTGAAGCAATATCATTTTTTAAAACTAAAAAAGCAATTTCTTCCTTATCAGGAAACTTAAAGTTGATTCATATGGAGCTACATTATACATACACTCAAGGTTTAGAATAGTGACTCTTAAACTAATTTTTTAGATCATAAACCCCTTTGAGAATCTAATGAAACTTCTAATGTCTCCTGCCACCAGATGCCCTTGGCACAGTCATCTACTCACTAGTGGACCACCCATCATCAACTGGGCCTCAGGCTCCTTTGATATGATCCCTGCTCGTTTAGACATCTTTACCTGCTGTTCTGGGACTGTCCTGAGTCATTTGCCCTACCTCAGTGAGTATATGTAGTCTGTGACTCCCAGCTCTTCTTGAACTAGTCGTTCTACCACAACTGTGTGATTATTTGAGTAGACCAATGATGAACTGAACTATTTTTGGGGGTGGGTGTGCTTGGTCAAGGAGAATTGAGAACAGAGAACAAGAAGACAGCTGGAGGGACTTTCTTCCTCTATGTTGTTGATAGGGTATCCCATCTTCCCCCAAGAAAGAAATCACATAAATATTTGAAAGAACCTACCCCATATCTTCAACAATTTTAGGTTTATCTTCTTGGGAGCTCTCTGAGGATGAATTTCCATTTGCAAGGTTTCTTGGTATATCAGAGAAAAAGACTAATTTTGGCTTACCCACCTGTGGGTAATAAACAGGAACTATGTGATGGATTGTTTCAAAGTTACCTGTAGTGTACAAAGAATTAAAAGGATTCTGCTTTGAAACTAATAACTAAATTGTAAACAAGGCTTATAACAGCATTAGACTATCCAAAATTATAATTTATGAAATGGAATTAAAGTTAAATAGATCCACAGTAAGACCAATTAAAAACTTATATCCCAGATAAAGTATCACAGACTTTCATACATAAAAACCTACCCAGGAAAATTTATGGTCAGCCCTCATTGACAAAATGTGTACACCAACGTTAACATAAGTATTTACTTTCCTTGCATTCTGCTCTTCTGGGTTTAGTTTTTCAGAGTGTTAGGCCTTTAGAGAGTATATTAGTTATGTATAGTTTATATATAGTTTTTGTAGTATGTTCATACCTTTATTTTGGTACTTACCATTCCACATCATTTTCCTGTTTACAGATCTTCCTCCCTTTCCAGCGGTTATTTCCCTTTGAATGGGGACTGTTTTATTCACCTTTAATTACAGTGCCTAGCATAGTCCTGTGCTCAGATATTTATTAAATGAATAAATGAATGTTTTCAGAGAAGCACTACAAAGGATATATACTGAAAGATATGCATATGTTTTGGATTTTATTAAAGTGTTTGATTTTGTTTCCAAATTTGGGTTATATAGTTAAGTGGCTATATTTAGGACAAGATTTTTTTTATCATAAGATACTTGAAGTCTGAAGTCATAATCCCTATTAATCTTATCGTAATCTTTGAGGTAAAGCTCCAAATTTATAAGGCTATCAAAAATACATAAAAGGTCAGGAAGTACAAAAATTACTATCTTCCTAAGAATTCCTGTTCACTGACAATGTATTTGTACAGCATTGTCTTTAAAGTGTTCATTTCAGCTCTTCTAAAGACCTGAAGGAATATTGTGGATTTTAAAAATACGTAATATATATTCTAAACTTTAATTCATGCTTTCCATTTTTCTTTTTTGAGCCATACTAACAGAGCCTTTGTATAAAGACCATAGTGTTAAGTTGTTGGCCACATACCTAAGGATAGAGTTATTGTGTGCTACAAACATGTTTTCACAGACGTCACTGATTTTAAACCTGAAAGGCTCAGAACTGTAGCATTTGTTTAGATAGGGATGGCAAATGTGTAGGAGGTGAGAGAGAAAGATATCTACAAGTAGCCAAGGGAGAATAACTAAGTGTTCCTGAGGAAAACTCAGATAATTTTCTGTCACAGCTAGTCAGCTTTTAATTTTTTTTCAATTTCAATTTTATTTTAACTGAACTTAGAGTTTGTTTTTCAATATAGTAAATCATATAATCTACTTAAATTTTTTTATATTATCCCATTTTTCTCTGTAGGTCCTTTTTATTTATAAAAATTATTTGTTTACATTGTCACATAATTACATATCTGGAGATTTTCTTAAATCCCCACCAATTTGAAGTGAATTTCTTTTTTTTTTTTTAATTTTTTTGATGTTTACTCATTCTTGAGAGAGAGAGAGAGAGAGATAGAGAGACAGACAGACAGACAAAGCATTAGTGGGGGAAGGGCAGAACAAGAGAGAGACACAGAATCTGAAGCAGGCTCCAGGTTCTGAGCTGTCGTCACAGAACCCAACGCGGGGTTCGAACTCACAAGCTGTGAGACCATGACCTGAACTGAAGTCGGATGCCCAATCAACTGAGCCACTCAGGTGCCCCTGAAGTGAATTTCTATGTAGAGCAGACATCATTGTCCTTGTATCCAAGCACAGTTGAGCCAGTCATTGCTAGAGCGGTCACTAGAAGCCAAGCTGTTTGATGAAGTTAGGTAACTTTGATTAATCTCTGTACCCCTTGCTATCTTTGTGACCTTAGACAAGTTATTTCATCTTTCTAAAACTCAGCTTTCTTGTGTACAAAATGGATGTAATAATTATTTTCTCCATAGGTTATAGTGATTAAATGAAGTGATGTTTATAAATATCTGAAATGTTTAGTACAGTAAGAATTACTTCTCTTTTCTTCCCTTACCCCCTTTTCTTTATTTCCTAGACTGATGTGCTTTCTATTTTAAATTGTTAATGATTATTAAAATAGCAACTACAATAAGGTATGAAATGATAACTTTTGTACTATGTAACATCCTATTTGGCTTTTTAAAAAATTTATAGTTAGAGGAGTTAAAATTTTTTTAATTTAAATTTTATTTTTTAATTTTAATTCCAGATAGCATACAGTGTTATATTAATTTCAGGTGTACAATTCAACAATTCTATACATTACTCAGTGCTCATCATGGTAAGTGAACTCTGATCCCCTTCATCTATTTCACCCATCTCCCCACCCATCTCCCCTCTGGTAACCATCAGTTTATTCTCTGTAGTTAAGAGTCTGTTTTTTGGTTTCTCTCTCTCTCTTTTCTTTTCCGTTTGCTCCTTTGTTTTGTTTCTTAAATTCCATGAGTGAAATCATATGGTATTTGTCTTTCTCTGACTGACTTATTTTGCTTAGTATTATACTCTCTAGCTTCATTCATGTTGTTGCAAATGGCAAGATTTCATTCTTTCTTATGGCTGAATAATATTCCATTGTATATATACACCACATCTTTATTCATCTATCAATGGACACTTTGGCTGCTTCCATAATTTGGCTATTGTAAATAATGCTACAATAAACATAAGGATGCTTTTACCCCATTGAATGAGTGTTTTTCTATTTTGTATATGTTTACTGGATTGTAGGGTGGTTCTTTTTTTAACTTTTTGAGAAACATCCATACAGTATTCCATGTTAGCTGCACCAGTTTGTTTTCCCACCAACGTGCACGAGAGTTCCTTTTTGTTGACATCTTTGCCAACACTTGTTGTTTCTTGTGTTTTTTATTTTAGCCATTCTGACAGGTGTGAGGTGATACCTCATTGTTTTGATTTGCATTTCCCTGGTGATGAGTAATGTTGAGCATCTTTTCATGTGTCTATTGGTCATCTGTATGTCTTCTTTGGAGAAATGTCTGTTCATATCTTCTACCTGTT